GATGTTCCCAATTTTCTGATGGGAACATCAGACCATTTGGGAAGGCATCGGACGAGGGAATGGGGAATGGTGGGGATGACGAGGGGAAGGAAGTGAGAGATGGTGGGGAGGACGAGGGGACAAGAGAGGGGGGTAATGGTGGGGAAGGACGAGGAGACGGGGGAGTTTGGGATGGTGGGGAAGAGGGGATAGGGGAATGGAGAATGGTGGGGAGGACAAAGGGACAGGGGAGTGGGGCATGGTGGGAAGGAAGAGGGAACGGTGGAGTGGGGAATCGTGGGAAGGAAGAGGGAACGGTGGAGTGGGGAATGGTTGGGAGGACGAGGAGACGGGTGAGAGGGGAATGGTAGGGAGGACTGGGAGACAGGGAAGGTTGCTGTGATTGGGTACTGCTGGTACTTTAATAACGTTTGTGGGCAAGTGCCAGATGCCACGGACGGCATTATCTTGCCCCCATAACTAGCAAGGTGGGAGCACATCTAACTGGTTCTTGTCATCTGAGATACTGTAAAGGTGGTGAAGACCACCAAGACCACATGAAACAAATCCGAGAAGATGAGATAAAGACTTACGTTCCGGTTAAAGTGATTGGATCCGGATACTGTCAAGGGATCTGGATAAAGTAATTGGGTCATATATGGCATTAGGGCCTGGATTATGGTGGTAAATGACTTGCAATGTGGGTTGTGCTGAACTCTTGGGTCCGCCTGTGTCCACCTTCCAGTCTATACACACTAGAGGACAGAAGTGCTGTGTTTTGGTATGAGGAATATTGACGTGAATGATGAGATAATTAGTGGAGTGAGGGACGGCTTTTACATTATGCAGACTTGTAATGCTTGAGTATATTTAGTATAACACCTGTACTGCACAGGTAGTGGCGCTCTGAGGTTGATGGAATATGTGGATTGAATTAGCTGTGTGTTCGTGCTGTCCGTCCTCAGCTTCCCACCGTCACTATGCTGTTGTAGTAAGTTGCCTTATGCTGCCAATATGCTGGCAGTTGCCTTATGCTGCCAATATGCTGGCATATTGCCTTATGCTGGCAATATGCTGGCAGTTGCCTTATGCTGCCAATATGCTGGCACGTTGCCTTATGCTGGCAATATGCTGGCACATTGCCTTATGCTGCCAATATGCTGGCAGTTGCCTTATGCTGCCAATATGCTGGCAGTTGCCTTATTCTGCCAATATGCTGGCAGTTGCCTTATGCTGCCAATATGCTGGCAGTTGCCTTATGCTGCCAATATGCTGGCAGTTGCCTTATTCTGCCAATATGCTGGCAGTTGCCTTATGCTGCCAATATGCTGGCAATTGCCTTATTCTGCCAATATGCTGGCAGTTGCCTTATGCTGCCAATATGCTGGCAGTTGCCTTATGCTGCCAATATGCTGGCAGTTGCCTTATGCTGCCAATATGCTGGCACATTGCCTTATGCTGCCAATATGCTGGCACATTGCCTTATGCTGCCAATATGCTGGCACATTGCCTTATGCTGCCAATATGCTGGCACATTGCCTTATGCTGCCAATATGCTGGCAGTTGCCTTATGCTGCCAATATGCTGGCACATTGCCTTATGCTGCCAATAAGCTGGCACATTGCCTTATGCTGCCAATATGCTGCCAATATGCTGGCACATTGCCTTATGCTGCCAATATGCTGGCAATATGCTGGCAGTTGCCTTATGCTGGCAGTTGCCTTATGCTGCCAATATGCTGGCACATTGCCTTATGCTACCAATATGCTGGCACATTGCCTTATGTTGGCATAACCAGTTAGATGGTTATGTTGACCGAACCACCTACCAGAGGACCCTCGGACAGAAAACGGAACATCCCGTCAATTTCGACAGTCGCTACCATTTGTAGTGCATTAGTTTTTGGCCTTAGGGAAAAATTATACGTCAAAATGCAATGTACTATTCAGGGTAACGGGTTGTTAACGTGACAACAGTGAGGAAATAGCGACCACCGTCCATCGATTGTTTCCAATTGTGTAAATAAATATGTAAATTGTCAATTATTTATTTAAATTCTCCGCGATGATTTTGTAATGAATATCAGACATATTTGTAGAAGTTCAGTTAGGAACATTAATGGAGCATCCTCACTCGACGTTAAGCGTGAAGCGCGTGTACAGAACACCAGTCAGTTGGTTAAATCATGGTTTTAACCAGTTGGTTAAATCATGGTTTTAACCAGTTGGTTAAATCATGGTTTTAACCAGTTGGTTAAATCATGGTTTTAACCAGTTGGTTAAATCATGGTTTTAACCAGTTGGTTAAATCATGGTTTTAACCAGTTGGTTAAATCATGGTTTTAACCAGTTGGTTAAATCATGGTTTTAACCAGTTGGTTAAATCATGGTTTTAACTCGGTGTGACGTCAGTTGGTTAAATCATGGTTTTAACTCGGTGTGACGTATTTTTTAACATACGTCATTGTTTATCTGTTGGTTTCAAAAATTATAAATTTAGCAAAGACGAGTTCTTCCGCGAGGTGATCATAGTTATTTATTTTCTCGTCTTCCTCCTCCGCGTTAGTCTTGTTACTTTACGTTACTTTGCGATGATTTCGGGACTCAACGTTCCCGCGGCCCGGTTCTCGGCCGGGGCCTCCTCGTTGCTAGACTGGTCTGGTATGGTCTTACCCCACACACCGTCTTCCTCCCGTTGGTAACGCTAACGTTGTCACCCAACATTACGTTACCATCACTAACGTCTGAAAGTAATCAACCTCACGTATACTCTGATCAACCCGGTCAACTCCGTACAAAATGCAACTGTTCTACCCAAACCCGGAACGTACGAACACCAACGGATTTCCCCCTAGTCGATCGAGGCCGATGGCTAAATACGTCAATATTCCGTTGTTTTAACTCTTACTAAAACGTCGCATTTTTTAACCGGATTGGTCGGATTTGGTACAAAAATACGACATTAGAGGGTAACCTGCCGAGGGAGCGTCTCAGACGCAGGCTCTTCAAATACTGAAGCAACACCCATTGATTACGTGAATAACAGGAAAGAACCTGAATACAGAAAACGGGCACTTAGGCAGGAAAATACCCCGGGAGGTTCTAAAAAGCTTATAAAAAAGAGCTCTTGAAGGCTCATAAAAGATCTTAAAAGGTCTTGAAGGCTCTAAAAGTTCATAAAGGTCTTCAACGCTCATGAAAGCTCACAAACGCTCTTGAATGCTGTAAAAGGTGTTAGCTTGAAACGGCGGCGAGCACTAGGTCGTCCCCGCGCTGGGCTCCCGCTGCTTGAGGCGCGGGGCGGCGGCGGCGGCAGCGCGGGAAGCGTTGACAATACTATAGACACTCGCATATAACCTCAGTCGATACTTCTGGTGTTCGGGTTGTTTCTCTTCGGCAAGACTCTAAGAGTCAGTTGACTGTCTATTTGAGATCTTCCAGACTTTCCTAACTACTGGGGCTGGTTACGACCTTCCTAACAAGTGTGGTTGGTAACAATACTACTACTACCTTACAGTCGTCACTCCTAACCATCTACTTTACATCTGGGACGGCCCCTGATAATCTACCTCACATCTAGGACGGCCCCTGATAATCTACCTCACATCTGGGATGTCCTTGATAATCTACCACATATCTGAGACGGCCCTGATAATCTACCTCACACCTAGGACGCCCTCCCCCTGACATTCTACCTCACAGTTAGAACTGACAATCTACTTCACAGATAAAATAAATGACCATCTACCTCAAAGTCGTGATAACTAACAATCTACTGATAGACACTGTGGGTTTTACAGTGTCTGTGAGGGATGGACCAAGTCCAACCAGATACTTCCCAGGTAATGGTCATTACCCACGTGCCTACATCATGTTGACATCCCTACATCATGTTGACATCCCTACATCATGTTGACATCCCTACATCATGTTGACATCCCTACATCATGTTGACAATAAACCCTCACAATCATTGTATATTTTCCTAATATTAGTAGCGGTGACGAGTGCAACATGGTGGGGGGGGGTTCTGTCATAGTCAGCAATGTTGCCAAATAGTGGAAGAAACATGTGAAATGTTATCTTGTTCAGGTACAACAAATTAGCCTTTAATGGAGGATGCAATTTTGTGGCGTTCCGGTGAATATGTGTTGGTATGGCGCTTGAAACTGTCTAACATCCCTACACCATGTGTCCAGTTGCCCTGTCCGACACACACATGTATCATTGTGGTGTAGCCTGTATCATAGCCAGTGTCTCTCATCTTTAGGTAACTGAATATATTCTCGGTGTCATTTATACGAGTAACTGTATGTTGCATTCAGGGTAGTGAAGTGGGCAGTTAACATGGCGTGGATCACCTAGTTCTCCTGTGTTCGTGAGGGGGGGGGGAGGGAGGAGCCCGGGGGAAGGCAAGCTCCAATGGCCAGCAGTTAGTTGTATTGGGTTCCGTTCCTTCCCTTTTAAAGCCGGGCCCATTAGCAAGAGTTGATAGAGCGACTGTCTGCCATGCTGGAGGTCGGCTGTCCGAGGCTCCTAGTGGCCAAGAGAGGAAAACAGACTGACAGACAGACAGACAGACAGACAGACAGACAGACAGACAGACAGACAGACAGACAGACAGACAGACAGACAGACAGACAGACATGCTTCGATGTGATGGAGAAATGTACAACAATAATCACTACCCAACCCCACTAAAACACCTAGACATAAACAGCATCCCTCACCCCTCCCCTCACCCCTCCCCCTCACCCCTCCCCTCACCCTCCCCTCACCCCTCCCCTCACCCCTCCCCTCACCCCTCCCCTCACCCCTCCCCTCACCCCTCCCCTCACCCCTCCCCTCACCCCTCCCCTCACCCCTCCCCTCCCCCCTCCCCTCCCCCCCTACAAAAAAATATGATAACACCAGAATTATAGATTCATAAATCTCAGAATCCGAAAAAAATAGGTCGCGATCGACCGCCCTATTCTGAACTAAAGGTAAAAAAAAAAAATTGACATATATCGTTTGTTACAGGATATACCCCTAGCGGCGAGTATGCTTCAGGATATACCCCTAGCGGCGAGTATGTTACAGGATATACCCCTAGCGGCGAGTATGCTTCAGGATATACCCCTAGCGGCGAGTATGCTTCAGGATATACCCCTAGCGGCGAGTATGCTTCAGGATATACCCCTAGCGGCGAGTATGTTACAGGATATACCCTAGCGGCGAGTATGCTTCAGGATATACCCCTAGCGGCGAGTATGCTTCAGGATATACCCCTAGCGGCGAGTATGTTACAGGATATACCCCTAGCGGCGAGTATGTTACAGGATATACCCCTAGCGGCGAGTATGTTACAGGATATACCCCTAGCGGCGAGTATGCTTCAGGATATACCCCTAGCGGCGAGTATGTTACAGGATATACCCCTAGCGGCGAGTATGCTTCAGGATATACCCCTAGCGGCGAGTATGTTACAGGATATACCCCTAGCGGCGAGTATGCTTCAGGATATACCCCTAGCGGCGAGTATGTTACAGGATATACCCCTAGCGGCGAGTATGTTACAGGATATACCCCTAGCGGCGAGTATGTTACAGGATATACCCCTAACGGCGAGTATGCTTCAGGATATACCCCTAGCGGCGAGTATGTTACAGGATATACCCCTAGCGGCGAGTATGTTACAGGATATACCCCTAGCGGCGAGTATGTTACAGGATATACCCCTAGCGGCGAGTATGTTACAGGATATACCCCTAGCGGCGAGTATGTTACAGGATATACCCCTAGCGGCGAGTATGCTTCAGGATATACCCCTAGCGGCGAGTATGTTACAGGATATACCCCTAGCGGCGAGTATGCTTCAGGATATACCCCTAGCGGCGAGTATGTTACAGGATATACCCCTAGCGGCGAGTATGCTTCTAATCCTGTATTGGCTCCGGAAAATGTTGGGAAATATTGTATATATGTGTGTGTGTGTGTGTATGTGTGTGTGTGTGTGTGTGTGTGTGTGTGTGTGTGTGTGTGTGTGTGTGTGCATGTGTGTGTGTGTGTGTGTGTGTGTGTGTGTGTGTGTGTGTGTGTGTGTGTGTGTGTGTGTGTGTGTGTGTGTGTGTGTGTGTGTGTGTGTGTGTGTGTGTGTGTGTGTGTGTGTGTGTGTGTGTGTGTGTATGTGTGTGTGTGTGTGTGTGTGTGTGTGTAGGCTGATACAATGTGCAAGCTGATCTCCGTAGGCCGAAGCCATCACTGCCCCGGTAAAATTTTATATTATATATATATATATATATATATATATATATATATATATATATATATATATATATATATATATATATGTCGTACCTAGTAGCCAGAACGCAAAGCTACCTAGCTAAGCTACCTTTCGTTCTGGCTACCTAGTAGCCAGAACGAAATATATATATATATATATATATATATATGTCGTACCTAATAGCCAGAACGCACTTCTCAGCCTACTATTCAAGGCCCGATTTGCCTAATAAGCCAAGTTTTCATGAATTAATGTTTTTCGTCTACCTAACCTACCTAACCTAACCTAACCTAGCTTTTTTTGGCTACCTAACCTAACCTTACCTATAAATATAGGTTAGGTTAGGTTAGGTAGGGTTGGTTAGGTTCGGTCATATATCTACGTTAATTTTAACTCCAATAAAAAAAAATTGACCTCATACATAGAGAAAAGGGTTGCTTTATCATTTCATAAGAAAAAAATTATAGTAAATATATTAATTCAGGAAAACTTGGCTTATTAGGCAAATCGGGCCTTGAATAGTAGGCTGAGAAGTGAGTTCTGGCTACTAGGTACGACATATATATATATATATATATATATATATATATATATATATATATATATATATATATATATATATATATATATATATATATATATATATATATATATATATATATATATATATATATATATACATATATATATATATATATATATATATATATGTCGTACCTAATAGCCAGAACGCACTTCTCAGCCTACTATTCAAGGCCCGATTTGCCTAATAAGCCAAGTTTTCATGAATTAATGTTTTTTCGTCTACCTAACCTACCTAACCTAACCTAACCTAGCTTTTTTGGCTACCTAACCTAACCTAACCTATAAATATAGGTTAGGTTAGGTTAGGTAGGGTTGGTTAAGTTCGGTCATATATCTACGTTAATTTTAACTCCAATAAAAAAAAATTGACCTCATACATAGAGAAAAGGGTTGCTTTATCATTTCATAAGAAAAAAATTATAGTAAATATATTAATTCAGGAAAACTTGGCTTATTAGGCAAATCGGGCCTTGAATAGTAGGCTGAGAAGTGAGTTCTGGCTACTAGGTACGACATATATATATATATATATATATATATATATATATATATATATATATATATATATATATATATATATATATATATATATATATATATATATATATATATGTCGTACCTAGTAGCCAGAACTCACTTCTCAGCCTACTATTCAAGGCCCGATTTGCCTAATAAGCCAAGTTTTCCTGAATTAATATATTTACTATAATTTTTTTCTTATGAAATGATAAAGCAACCCTTTTCTCTATGTATGAGGTCAATTTTTTTTTATTGGAGTTAAAATTAACGTAGATATATGACCGAACCTAACCAACCCTACCTAACCTAACCTAACCTATATTTATAGGTAAGGTTAGGTTAGGTAGCCAAAAAAAGCTAGGTTAGGTTAGGTTAGGTAGGTTAGGTAGACGAAAAAAGATTAATTCATGAAAACTTGGCTTATTAGGCAAATCGGGCCTTGAATAGTAGGCTGAGAAGTGCGTTCTGGCTATTAGGTACGACATATATATATATATATATATATATATATATATATATATATATATATATATATATATATATATATATCGTACCTAATAGCCAGAACGCACTTCTCAGCCTACTATGCAAGGCCCGATTTGCCTAATAAGCCAAGTTTTGATGAATTAATTGATTTTCGACTACCTAACCTACCTAACCTAACCTAACCTAACTTTTTCGGCTACCTAACCAAACCTAACCTATAAAGATAGGTTAGGTTAGGTTAGGTAGGGTTGGTTAGGTTCGGTCATATATCTACGTTAATTTTAACTCCAATAAAAAAAAATGACCTCATACATAATGAAATGGGTAGCTTTATCATTTCATAACAAAAAAATTAGAAAAAATATATTAATTCAGGAAAACTTGGCTTATTAGGCAAATCGGGCCTTGAATAGTAGGCCAAAAAGTGAGTTCTGGCTACTAGGTACGACATATATATATATATATATATATATATATATATATATATATATATATATATATATGTCGTACCTAATAGCCAGAACGCACTTCTCAGCCTACTATTCAAGGCCCGATTTGCCTAATAAGCCAAGTTTTCATGAATTAATGTTTTTTCGTCTACCTAACCTACCTAACCTAACCTAACCTAGCTTTTTTTGGCTACCTAACCTAACCTTACCTATAAATATAGGTTAGGTTAGGTTAGGTAGGGTTGGTTAGGTTCGGTCATATATCTACGTTAATTTTAACTCCAATAACATAAAATTGACCTCATACATAGAGAAAAGGGTTGCTTTATCATTTCATAAGAAAAAAAATATAGTAAATATATTAATTCAGGAAAACTTGGCTTATTAGGCAAATCGGGCCTTGAATAGTAGGCTGAGAAGTGAGTTCTGGCTACTAGGTACGACATATATATATATATATATATATATATGTCGTACCTAGTAGCCAGAACGCACTTCTCAGCCTACTATGCAAGGCCCGATTTGCCTAATAAGCCAAGTTTTCATGAATTAATGTTTTTTCGACTACCTAACCTACCTAACCTAACCTAACCTAACATTTTCGGCTACCTAACCTAACCTAACCTAACCTAACCTATAAAGATAGGTTAGGTTAGGTTAGGTAGGGTTGGTTAGGTTCGGTCATATATCTATATTAATTTTAACTCCAATTAAAAAAATTGACCTCATACATAATGAAATGGGTAGCTTTATCATTTCATAAGAAAAAAATAGAGAAAATATATTAATTCATGAAAATTTGGCTTATTAGGCAAATCGGGCCTTGCATAGTAGGCTGAGAAGTGCATTCTGGCTACTAGGTACGACATATATATATATATCATATTTATGGATGTTCGTTTAAACATTATCCTGGGATTCAAATGATCTAATATCTCTCTCTCTCTCTCTCTCTCTCTCTCTCTCTCTCTCTCTCTCTCTCTCTCTCTCTCTCTCTCTCTCTCTCTCTCTCTCTCTCTCTCTCTCTCTCTCTCTCTCTCCATTAACGTCTCTGATGCTTTTAAAGTCAACTCACCAGCGACATTCTAAACTTTTAACGAAATTTTCAAGTAATTTTTGAGCCTCCGTGGAGCGGACGGCTGTGACGAGCCCCTGGCCCCTATTTAAGCTGCACTGATTGACTATTGATCGAGCAGAATCTTGGTTTTGAATGGTCAGAATATGAGAGTGGGGGGCTGCCCCTCCCCACCCACCCACCCCCAACCCTCTCCACAAGCACCGTGCGTCCATCAACCGTCGAGGAATTGGTGGAAGGAGTCTGTCACTCTGTCAATTAGTCTGTCTGTCACGGTGAGCTACTTAGCCTGTCTACTGTCAAGGTTCTCCAAGCACAGGGCAGATCTTGTCTGGAGAGTCATGATAAATAAATAGGATTTATTTATCAAGAGTCTCTTGTTTTGATTCTAGTTTTGACTCTTGTATTTATTTATCCTGATTCTCTTTCTCTATTCTGAGCCGCTCACCTTGCTGGTACTCAACCCCCGCGGTGTTCTTTAAAAAAAAAAAAAAGGACTTTTGTGTTGAGTATTAAATGGTGTTCTTCAAGAGGTGAAAACGTTCATGACGTTGTGAAGATCGCGGTGTTATCTGTTCTCTACTCTGTGGTTTTTGCTGAACTTTATCTATTGGTTTTGTTTACACTTTACTAGTGGTTTCTATATACTTTACCAGTGGTTTCTATATACTTTACCAGTGGTTTCTATACACTTTATATAGTGATTTGTAAACATTCTATTCATTAGTTTCTCTTCACTTTACAAGGTGGTTTCTAAACACTTTATCAAGTGGTTTCTTAACAGTTTCAATGGTTTCTCAACATTTTTTTCAATGGTTTCTCTCTTCGCGCAATATAAATTAAACTCATTAATTTACAACCATATCTGTTCTCCCATCATCAGTTATGGTTGTTCTTCTTTAAATAAATTCTTTTATTTTTTTTACTGAAGCTAATTTACAACTAATTTTTTACATTTTAATTTAATTTCATAACTACAACAAAATTGTTCACCAGGCAGTGATAATTAGTTCTCCATTGAACAGGTCATGTTGTTCTCTAACGCGTGTTCTCGTGTTCTCCCCGGCAGACGGAGCAGTTCACGGTGCTGTGGATGCTCTTCATCTCCATCGTGGTGGGGAACGTGGCTGTGATCGCCGCCCTCATGCTCTCTAAGACCAGAAAGTCCAGGACCAACTTCTTCATCATGCACCTGGCGCTGGCTGGTGAGTTCCCTCCACCTGGCTGGTGAGTTCCCGCCACCTGGCTGGTGAGTTCCCTCCACCTGGCTGGTGAGTTCCCGCCATCTGGCGCTGGCTGGTGAGTTCCCTCCACCTGGCTGGTGAGTTCCCTCCACCTGGCTGGTGAGTTCCCGCCACCTGGCGCTTGCTGGTGAGTTCCCTTCACCTGGCTGGTGAGTTCCCGCCACCTGGCTGGTGAGTTCCCGCCACCTGGCTGGTGAGTTCCCTCCACCTGGCCCAGTTGGACACTTCACACCCCTAAGGGTAATGTTCTTTTTTATTGAGTCACAAGAGAGGACACCCGGAGTCGCTCAGGAGACGGGGGGGGGGGGCTACATCTTCACTATACACCATCTTCCTCACTGTAACTATATTCACTACCCTGAAACCATCATCATCATCACGATATTTTGCACCCTTCATCACCTTCCCTACCCTTCATCACCATACTTTTCCTTCTCCATATTCACTACCTTTCACCACCTTTCCTACCCTTCTTCACCATATTCCCTACCCTACCCTTCACCATATTCCCTTCATCACTGTAACCATCTTCACTGCACATATGACCAATTAACACTTGCTCATGTAGAGATTAATATGTCGAGTGAATATTAGGAAAGATGGAGTCTTGGTATTTAGTGATATTGGAAATTAGGATCATTTTTTCCATTTCAAGCGAAAGGAAGACATGAAGATCGACTATCCGACCAGCCTGTGAACATCCCCGAACAACCAACAGTCACCCTGCAAACTTTGATGAGGCTACTCTCAAAGTGTCTGGCCTCCATCTTTAAGAAGACAGACAGACAGACAGACAGACATTTTATCGCTATAGATAATTCCAGTATCAGGTGCTCTCCAGTCTTGGACTCGCTTCTCCTTTCCCCAGCACCAGCAGCACCAGCAGTAGCAGCAGCAGCAGCAGCAGCAGCAGCAGCAGCACCAGCAGCAGCTGCAGCAGAAGCCGGGGAGGACTTCTCTTTGATCCCAAGGACGACCTCTTTGATACCAAGAGGTCGTCCTCTTGGTACCAAAGGACCACCCTGCCTCCCTCTCTGGTGATCCTACCAGCACGCTCTGCGATGCTCACCAAACACAATGTCACTATAAGAAGTTCCTTCTCTCAGCTTCCTGGCAGCACAACCTCGCTCCGCAAGGGCTGCCATGCGAGTCCTCATTTTCCCGCCACAGGGAACTGCGCCTGCGCACCTGCTCCCCTTTGATGGTGCTCTCCCATTGGTTAAACTCTTTGCCTGATGAGCTCCCATTGGCTCTTCCAAGTAGATCCCCCTTCTGATTTTATGGTAATTTAAAGCATCATAGATATCAACTGGTTAGTTAGAATCCTACATTTTTAAACATTTCAGAACATTTCAAAACATTCCAGAACATTTCAAAACATTCTATAACATTCCAGATCATTTCAAAACATTCCAGAACATTTCAAAACATTTCAGAACATTCCAGAACATTTCAAAACATTCCAGAACATTTCAAAACATTTCAGAACATTCCAGAACATTTCAAAACATTCCAGAACATTCCGTAATAATTACAATAAAATGGTTTACAACCCACCACACAAGTAGCAAGTCTTCCTTGTAGACATACAGGAAGTATAATATATGACAGAAACAGTTAGATCAATAATTCTTGCACAAGTCTTAATTTTTTTATGTTCACTTGACAAGAAAACTGAAAAATGAACTTCTTAAAGTTCCTTTTTACAATGAACTTTATCATTGTTCATTAAAATCATTGTAAAAATGAACTTCCTAAAGTTCATTTTTAAAATGAACTTTATCATTGCTCATTAAAATCATTGTAAAAATGAACGTCCTAAAGTTCATTTTTAAAATAAACTTTATCATTGCTCATTAAAATCATTGTAAAAATGAACTTCCTAAAGTTCATTTTTATAATTTGATCTGAAGCTAAGAAATGCTTTTCTTTAAGACTTTCAACATTTCTGAATATCAGAGGTGAAGTGGATACAAGTTAGATTGATGATTGATGAAGCTTAAGCCACCCAAGAGGTGGCACGGGCATGAATAGCCCGTAAATACAAGTTAGCTGCAGAAACTTTAATATATATCCCCAAGAATTATGAGGTGAAGTGAGGTACGTGTTACCCAGTCGATGAGAATTGGGGCCCGGGAGCTGGATACTCTGCCTGAGGTCTTAAGAATGGTAGAAATACCAGAGTTAAAACTTGCCGTTCATATTTGGATGAGTGTTTAATGTGTAGTGCTTCGCCAATCTCTAATCTTCTAATGTCGAGATATCTGCCGATTATTTTTGGTTTTGTTCAGGATATTTCTGGTAATGGACTGGTTGTGTGAGTGTTTTTTTGCGACATCTGCACTACACACCAACCATCTTCACTGCTCAATTCTTGTTGGAAGTTTGGTCTAGTGTTTTTTCAAGGTAAAATTGTTCCTTGGCTCTTTCCTATACCGCCTTCCTACCCTTCACCGCCTTGCCTATCCTTCACCTTCTTTCTTACCCCTCTTACCACCTTTCCAAACCGTCACCATCATCTCTATTCTTCACCAGTTTTCTTTCATCACTGTTACCATCTTCAATTCACACTCATGGGTTGGTGAGAGACATATGGCAATTGTGTGAAGGATCTTCAGGTCCAGCAGGGAAGGTCCTTGTGTGTATATATAGCCCTTTGACGATTAGATTAGATTATGTAAAGTCAGGTTAGCTCAGTTTATGATAGATTATGTGAGCTGAGGTTAGGATAGATTACGTTATGTTAGGTTATTCTAGATTAGATTAGGATAGCTTGAGCTAGGTCTAGTTAAGTTTGGATAAATTAGGTTAAGTTTGGTTGGGTTAAGTTAGATTAGAATAATATTTTAATAATGATTAAATTAGGTTTTGTTAGGTTAGCTTAGAATTGGATAGGATGGGTTAAGGTAAGTTAGATTAGATTAAGTTGAGTTAGATTAGGTTTGGTTATGTTAGATTAAGTTAGGATGTTAGGTACCTAACTTCGTCCGTTGCCAGGCTAACAATAAGCAATAATCTCCTATGACCCACTTTCCTCTACCGCCTTGTCCCTGCATGTCGCATGAAGATCATATCATGAGCCAGTGTATCAGACGTGCCAATTATGCCATTAATCATCTCCCCAAGATAACACACACACCATCCTCCTGCTAGTTACATGCCAACAGTCCTTCTCCTGGCACCTAACTGTAAGGCCTCATCCTGCAACGATGATAAATGGCACTTCTGGCACTTCTTCCTCCTCGTCAAACACGACATTCCTGGTAGTTAAAGTCATCGATGCAATCCAACAGTTTCTGACATCTAGGAAACGTCTCGTGTCTCCGCTGGTCTTTAATGTCACATCTTGATATCCAGTTTATAATTTACATGCAAATACCTTTGCAGGATCTCCTCTCTGACCGCCCAATAGTGGAGGTGCCTTGACCAGAGGTTACTAATGCAGGCGCTACATACCGCGCCGTCTCGATTTTAGTGTTGATTTGCTCTTAATTTCCCCATACAGAGAGAGAGAGAGAGAGAGAGAGAGAGAGAGAGAGAGAGAGAGAGAGAGAGAGAGAGAGAGAGAGAGAGAGAGAGAGAGAGAGAGAGAGAGAGAGAGAGAGAGAGAGAGAGAGAGAGAGAGAGAGAGCTATGGAGCAGAATCCGAGAGCCACTCATTAGGAAACAACGTTCCCCAGGGTAGTATGCTTGGCCCTCTGCTGTGGAATGTCTATTTCAACGATCAACTTCGTCACATTCCTGAAGCTTAATCCTATGTTGATGACTGCACTCTAACCTTCATATACAGAAAGGAAGAAATGCCAACTGCTGCAAGAATCATCAATCGTCAACTTTTAGCGATTTCTACCTGGGGTAGGAGATGACAGGTCGCAGGTACCAGTAGTTGCCATCCGTAGCACTTGGCTCTCAACCATCAACAGTCTCATGCTAGAAGTGCCTTTCTCAAGAACATCACTCCATAAGCGAGCATTCACACCTAGGCTGACACACGTCTGGAACTTGTTCGCTCAACAGGTTAATTCACGGGAGATCAGATCAACTGATTACATGAAGGCTCTGGCACACAGTTGGCTACAGGCTCATCCTGTTCCTTATATGATTGTTACCTAATGTTGTTAATGAATATAGGCTATTCCCACTGATGCATATAACAGGCTCATGAAATAAATTGGCCTCTAGAAGTAGGTGTCGACTTAGCTGAGGAAGGATTACAACTCTTGCTTGCAGGTTCACCAGGTTCCTTTATGATAGTCCCCTTTGTGATAGTTTCCAAGTACATTATCATGAAATAAATGAGTTTCTAGGAGCAAGCTTCAGATGAGCTGAGGTAGGATAACAGCTCTTGCTTGCATTTTCACTATGTACGCCATTTGACAGCCCTTATGAACCCTAGTCTTAGTTTAAAAAAAAGGCACCTTAGCAAGGCACCACAAGAGGCTTCTTGCTCAACAGGCTTCGTCAAGCACAACATTTTTAGCTGTTTTCCTAAAATGTCTTGAAAACTTTTCTTTCTAAATCTTTATTAATAGTTTTATAATAAAGTGCTTCTGAGGGAGCTTACGTATGGTAAAGTTTCTTGAGCGAGATTGTTTGCTTCAGTTTAAAAAAAAATGAGTTTGCAAGTTAAAGAGTTTGTAAAGAAAAATTTGTAATTCTATCATTGTTTAGAGAAACTTGTAGGGGAAGTAGAGGTAATTGTGTAAATAAAATAAGGACAACGGTGAGAGTTAAAGTGGTTGACTGGCGTCAGAAGGCTTATGTGACACCTAGAGAATGGAATATGTCTGTCCTCTACTCTTTGGCCACTATTGCAGCTTCACCAGCCACACGCAAGTGCTCTACGAGTTCTAAGATGATATTATCACGTCAAATAAACAACGTTGTGCACTAAATTGAAGCGGCCATAGTATTTGAAGAGGGAAGGATGCAGATGGAGGGGAAGTGAGGCATAGATGAAC